CTTCCTTCCTTCCTTCCTTTCTTTCTTTCTTTCTTTCTTTCTTTCTTTCTTTCTTTCATTAGTACAGGATGTTGAATACAGATGGAGCCTCCCGCATGCTAAGCATGTACTTGACCACTGGGTTGGACTCCCAGACCCTCTTCCTCTGCACTGGCCTCTTAACTTCCTTGCTTGTCCTTCAGAAAACATGATAAAATAAGTCAGCACCTCTGGGCCTTTGCATTTGCCTCCCAGTAGAATGCTCTCCCCCTCATATCCTGCCCTCTAGTCCCATGTAGTTGCTGATAAAAAGCCACCTTGTCATCAAAGCCTTTGATAACCCCCAATTACTCCCTTTCCATCCACTCTGTTTAGTTTTCTAGATGCTGTTCATCACCACCTGACATGTTGCATAGACTCTTGATCATCTGAGTATTGTCAGCCTTTCTGTGTGCGCAGAGACTCTTTCCATCCATTATAGTATCCTAGCGTCTGAAACAACTCCCGGCCCGTATCTAGCGCTCACTAAATATTTATTGAATGGATAAATGAATTCCTGAGTCCTAATGTTCCGCAGCTTCGGCTGGCTGGGGGACACAGCCAGGCTGCAGGTGATGGGGGGTGGGGGTGCGAATAGGAAGAGGCTATTGAGGGGGGGTCCAGAGTTCTTGGGCAGTAAACAAATATAGGAGAAATATGATTTAAGAATGAAATAAGAGAAAATAATCAGAAAAGTCTCGAAAGGTCCTGGCTAGGCCTCCTGGCGGTGCTGAACCGAGGCCAGGCCAGACTTGCTTTCTTCAGCAGCTGGGGTCTGCTTCTCGTCATGCAGCAACCTCGACATCTATTTTGATATCCATATTATATGTCTCTTGGCATGCGGAGGACTCCTATCATTTAGCAGATTTATAGAAATTAGGGAAAGCGGTGTGAAGTGCCTCCTGCTGTATGGGAAAGGAGGAGAAATGGCTGACATTTGGCTTGTTGCCAAGTCCACCAAAGTTTCGAGTTTCCTGCTTTCTCCCTGTCTTGGGTGGAGTAGCTCTCTTATCACACTTCTAGTCTCTGAGTAGCCATAAAGTCCTGTCTATGCATCTGGCAAGGTTTTAATATTCAAAGACTCACATACTGAAGTACATAAAACTCAACATTTTGGCCCAGCCATTGTAAGAACAGAAAAGGTTTTCTTTGTCCTACGCATGATTTGTATTTAGCCTTGGTGGCCTAGGACTGATCTGTGGGATGATCCCTGTACCAAGCCTAGCTCCAGTGTGGGCAGTAGGGTCACAGATGTCTCTGCTGCCACCACTCACTCGTCATGTGACTTTGGGCAATAGTCTCCCTAAGCCTCACCACCATTATCCAGCCTGACCCAGCCTTTATTACCTCTCACCCAAACCGTCTGAGGAACCTCTTAGTGCGTTTCCCAGTCTCCTTAGCTGTAGCTAAAGGCAGAATGGTGCCTTCTGCAGGGAACTGGGGAGGGTGGATAAGATGGTTCATTCCCATGTGTTTTCAGGGTCCCGACACAGAAATTCACTGCACAGTTTCACTGGAGAGCATCATCATTTTCATTATGATTGTGATCCACTGGGTCTTCTTTATTGAGAATCGAAAGATCTTTCCCTCTGGATGTCCTTCTGCCCTGAATTCTATTTTTGAGTCATTTTGGCCAGTAAACCAGTCATTCCAAACTGCATATTATGCACGTTTTTAGTAGGTGCTTGGGCCTAATGACAGCCTGGCAGGCGTGTTGTGGAAACATACCTCATCACCATGTAATTGCCCTGTAATGCACAACACAGCTTTTGGTGTTGCTGAATCTAAAACAGCTTTATTTCCAAATTATCATATGAATAATACTGTGAGGTCAGCTTGACAGAAATACACAAATCCCCCTCCACCCAGACCTAGCTCACCTACAGCCCCCCAGGCAGCAGCTTCCATATTTGTTCATGCCAGAGATGTGTTCTTAGTTCTCAGGAAATTTATTCTCAAAAATAGATGATGATGATGATGATGATGATGATGATGATGATGATGTGTGTGTGTGTGTGATGTGAGTGTGAATGCAGGTGTATATGTGTGGGTGTATGGAAGGGGCATGTTCACACCAGGGTAGGAGTGTGGAGTCAGAGGACAATCTCAGATATCGTTCCCCCCTCCACCCCACACCCATGTTTGTACAGAGCATCTTTTGTTCTTGTTGTTCGGCGCTGTGTCAGCCAAGCTAGCTAGGCCACACACCGATAGAGATTCTCCTGCCTCTGCCTTCCGTCACCCATTACATCTGGTGTTACAGATGTGCGCTGTTGCACCCAGCTTACATGATTTTGGGACTCGAGCTCAGGTCCTAATGCCTGTGCAGCCAGCCCTCCATCAACCGAGTCCACCTCTCTAACCCCAAAGAAAACTTTTTTAAAGTTTATTGAGCACATAGGCTGCACAAAGCATACAAAGTTTTGCTTCATGCCGTGAGAAGCCACGTGAATACAGTGCCATGTGAAATCCTCAGTCCACCACCGATCAACTCTGCCGAAGGTAATTGCACACGTGTTTTTTATTCCTTTGCTTATCTTTCCTCATGTGGTGTTTACATTTGTTTACCCTCTAGTGGATGCTTCCAGAGTTCCTCTGTTTGCAGTGTTAACTGCGTACAGAAGGAACATGTCCTGGTTAACATATAACAACAGCCTGTAATTTTTCCAGAAGAGAATTTTTGTAATGTTCAGATGAATGTTACAGCTAATTAGGAACATAGATTCATCACGAAAGTAAATTGACTGGGGTTTGCAGTAGGTAATTGCTTATGAAGTGTAATGAAGTTTGCCTTTCTCTGCACAGATAATATCAATAGACAATAAGCACTTTCCATCTATGTTTAGTGAATTATGCTCAGACTTCAAGTATGAAATATTCATCTTCACCACTCTTGATAGAAGTAGCCTACCAGTGTGCTTCATATTTCTTCTCATCTTCACTCTAGAGACTGAACCTATTTCAATCTTCATGGTGACTCAGCTGCTGCTGTGAGCATGGATAATTGTACTGTGCTAAGGATACACAATGACCTCAGAGCCTGTTGAGTTATGAGCTGTGCTGGGAAAATTCCTAGGTAAATGGACTCAGGGTCTTAGATTTATTGAGCCTTTGTGAGTCTTCTAATTCTTCCCTAAATGTCATGCTTACACTTCCTGCTTTCTCCTCAGCTTTTCATTCGGGGTGCAGCTTTGGAGTATTCGCTGAGCAGGGCTTTCTTCCACGTGCAGAGAGCAGCGTTCCATCGGGAACACAGTAGTGAGGCCCTCCTTGTATGGGGTGCACCTGGGAATGGAAGAGAAAAGCAGTAATGAGGCCCTAATTAAATAAGACAACTCATTTGCTCTGGTCTGAGACAATGCTCACGGTACTTAGGAACAGTCCTAAGTAAGGGAATAGTCCATGCTCAGAATCCATTTCTGTTTACTTCTGACTCATGCCTGGGCACAAAGGATTCTTGGCTTGATGGCTGTCTGTGTTCCTGTTCAATACGGAATTTAATCCTGAAAATGCCTCATTTCAGCACAACCAAGTAGCTCTTTGCCTCAACTTAAACTCAGAGACAAACAACATGGAAGAAGTCAGCGAGTGGACAACCCCATCTCTGCGCCTGCTCAGCCTTTCAGATTCAGGTACTGACGGCCGGCTCTCCTGTGAATCTCAGGGCATCTGAAGGGCAGATGACTCCACTCTCCCCTGTCTCCTCACCTTCCCAGGCTTAGCAAGTATTACTAGAGACTTTTCCCAACTCAAGAAATTGTTCTAAATTCTTCTTTTCAGATCTCAACCTCCATTCTCTCAGCCATGTCCCCTACTCAGCTCAAGGAAGCAGGTATATGTGTTCAAAAACACATGGCCAAGCTATCCAATTGTGTGGCTTTTCTGCTTGAAATCTTCAGGTGCCTTGTTTAACTCTTGAATAAAGATTCTACTACTGACGATTTATGTTAATGATATGATTTTACTTATTTGTTTGTTTATTATACATGTGAGTGTGAACATGCCACTGTGCATGTGTGGAGGTCAGAGGACAACTTCTGGGAATGGATTCTCTTTTTACCTGGACATCAAACTCAGGCCATCAGGCCTGATGCAAGTACCTTAACCCCCTAAGCTGTCTTCCTGGCTTACTGCTGGAGTTTTTACAGGAAAAGGTGGACCTGAGCCATCTCAGCAAGCTAGGCTCAGCCATCCCTCCCTCCCATGCCAGTTAAAGACACCAGTAATTAGTGCGGGGGACAGAGAAAGGAGATTTTAGTAATGTGGCCAGTAATTGGAAAGAGGAGCAAGTAAAGGGGTCTAGTGACCCCCCCGCCCAAGTCCATCAGAAGAGTACTGACATAAGGTTTAGGTTTATTTATTTATTTATTTATTTATTTATTTATTATTTATTTATTTATTTATTTATTTATTTATTTATTTATTTCTTATTTCTTATTTTTTATTTTTGGTTTTTCAAGTCGGGGTTTCTCTGTGTAGCTTTGTCCCTTTCCTGGAACTCACTCTGTAGCCCAGGGTGGCCTCGAACTCACAGAGATCCACCTGCCTCTGCCTCCCGAGTGCTGGGATTAGAGGCGTGCGCTGCTGCCACTGCCGCCGCCGCCGCCGCCGCCACCACCACCACCACCGCCTGGCAAGGTTTAGGTTTAAACAGAGGGTAAGAGGTATGCACAACTGAGCAGCCCTCGTCAAGATGCGGGCCTACCCATTATGACCCATGATGGTCTGGTCTATCAAACAAGATGGTCTAAGCTATCAGAACTGGGTGAAATCTCTTCCTGGGAGGCAAATTCCTCCTCTGGTTGGCACTTAGATCGGGCCTTTCCCTTCCCCATGCTATGGGATTCCTGACATTTTAAAATTCATTGGAGTCCATTGTTTCAGTTGATAGCACAAGGGTCCATCCTTCTGATACGCTCTCTTCTGCCTGGACCTTCCCAGCCGTGGATCCACAAGTTGGTGTGACCGGTGTTGTGTTTATAGTTTCTGTTCCCTCTCTTTCTGTGCTCAATCCTGTTCCAGCCTTCTTTCTATCACTCTCTGTTTTCCTGGACCAACATATGCTGATGGTATCTCATCTGCTGGGCTTGTTCTGTCTCTGACTGGCCAGGTGACTGTCTCCTTCCAGGTACCAATGGCAGTTTTGCTTCTCAAACATGCCCTGTGCTCCTAGCAGCTTCTGTGTGTAGACATCACTGCAGCCTGACTTAGGTGGTCAGGGTAGGCTAAGAGTTCACCATCTAAACAACTCCCAGGAAAGACCTGCAGGGAACTGACTGTGATGCATCCCACTGGGCAACTAAAAGATGTTCGTTCATCACTGTTGCTCCTGCCAGATCCCCAGGAGTACAAGGGAGAGCAGTTTCCACCTGTGTGTGTGTGTGTGTGTGTGTGTGTGTGTGTGTGTGTGTGTGTGTGACAGCAAGCTGGCTAGAATGAAGCCTTTTCTAAGTGAAGTAGTATGGTTTAGAGAAGCATCCTCCTTCTTCAAAATGCCCAAAGAATGATAATGTAGCTCACTGGGGGAAGGCTGATGACTAAATTAGTTATGGTCTTCAAGTGGGATTTTGCTTGTTTTCTGAGTCCCCCTGATTTAGAGTTTACATCATTCCTGAAACAAAACTTTCCAAAGGAAACGTGGGATAAAATTGGAAGGAACAATGGTTTTGGAGCCAAAGTCTTATTTACTGTAGATCTTTTTCCTATAAATACAGTAACATCAGACTGTGGAAAGGAGGAGGAGAAGGTGTCAGATTGTGTATCTGAGATTGGTCTTTGGCTTTCTGTTTTGTAAATTTACATTTAAAAATAACCACAGACTACAACTGGCAATACCTTTCTTTACAAACAAAGCAAGGGCCGTAACTTCATTTTAAGATGTGCCTTTGCAATATAATATCAGGCAATGGATGCTTCCTATGTTCCAGCCTACTGCAGAATATTCTGTGTGCACATTTCAATGCACGGCCACTGCCTTTTGAGGTTACTGTGAACTGAATAAGTCACAGGTGGCCCTTTTGGATGTAAAATACCAATTCTGCAATAAGGATATAGGAGAATCGTTGAGTTCAACCCAGCTGTGAGTGAGTATGACCCAGGAATACAGTTCAGGTTGCCCTAAATGGCTAGTCTTTGTTGCAAAGGTTATCCAAACTTGTGGTCACAGTAAGAAAAAAAAGACATAAATAAGTGTTTTGATAAAATACATAGGTGGGTAGGTGAGCTATAGCAAGATGAAGAAATCTACTTATATGTTGTCTGTAACATTCCTATCTTTAGGGTTAGTGATGTTTACTGGTATGTCAAGGATAGAGACATATTCCAAGAATTTTGTTGAAAAGTCAAGAGAATGTTAACTCAGATATAGAAGTTGATACAAGTAGTAAAAGTGGTTTAAAAAAAAAAAAAAAGACAGCCCAAGATAAATTTTGGCTCTTGACCTGTAATGTTCCGTCTCTTCAGACTCTTCAGACACCACATTCTTAGCCAACGTCACGATTGCAAGATCTCCCACACAGATGCGGATTCTTCAGAGAACTTTAGTTCACACCACAGAGAGATGATCACATGAAATAATATGGACCAAATAACTTACCTCTTTGAAGGCTCAGGTCAAAAGCCTTTGAGCCAACGAGCACTCTGAGACCATGATATCCAACTCTGTGTCAAGCACTGGATTAATGATACAGATCAATGCACCCCATGTTGTGGGGTGCAAAGAGTGTCTGTGATGAAACATAGTTTTCAGATGCAATGGGTCTGGATGGAGCTTGGAACTCACAGTTACCACAGGTCTCAGGAGATAGCAAGGCTGGGGCAATGAGGAACATGCTCTGGGAAGAATGATTGAATGATGCTACTCAAAACATGACCACTAAAGCCCCAGGCCCTGTCCCGATAATCCTACCGAATCTGAATTCGTTGGGGTAGGGCTTATAGACAATGTTTTAACAAATGCTCCAGCAATTCTTACACTTTCCAAAGACTGAGGAGCCCTGGTACAGTCATCAAGTTTCACCAAGGCCAGATGGGTTGAGTTCAGGCCATGTGTCCTTTTCTCAGCAATCTGAGCACCCAGGCACTCTAAGGCCTTTGTCATTCTCAGGGCCTGTCAACTCCATATCAAGGGGCCTGGTTCAACTTCTCCAACATAAACAGACAAATGACTAACCAGGTGCCCCAAGGAAAGTCTGACACTCCCCCCAACATGCTATTAGGAACAGGCTGAATCAGGCCTGAAAGAAAATGATGACCAGAAAAGCACAGTGCTGATTCGAGCCAGATTGATGGCTATTCTTATTGTAATATTCATGATGAGCAGAGTCTTTGTAATGGATTTAGCAGATGTGGACAACCTCCTGCCAGACTCCCTCTGTCTGAATGGAAACTGCACTCACCCAATATGTTTCCCCGTCCTCTGGCCTGAGATTGAGTTGTCACCCTTTCCCAGACACTCTCCTCCAGGCGCCCCAGATGGTACTGGCTGACACACTCCAAGGATGTCATTATGAACACGTGGAAGCCACATGAGGGTGAGGGGAATGGGCTTCTGGAGATGAAATGCCTGGCACAACCCTCACCCCTGAGGGCCTTGAGACACTGCTGGGAGGAGCAGAGGTAAGTGGGTCTCAGGTGCCGGGAGGTCTTGGAAAATCAGGGACCCATGGGAAACCCTTAAAGAGAGGATGCTGCTCAGGCACTGGGAGATTCTCTAACGAGTTCATGTGACAGCAATATATTCTGTGTTCTGGTGCTCTCTATCACCTTTAATTCCAATGTTATTCAGCTGCTTAATTGAGGGTGAATCTTTTTGGGATTCAGGTAATGCCACTAATTTATCATTCTATCAGAAATGGTTAAATGATTTATTGTTATTTATTTTATAAATGGTATAACAACTTCGGCTAGTCAAAATACAAAGGCACATAGTAACTTGGAATTGACAGAGTCGTTGGATAATTAATGGTCTTTGACCTAGTTGACTCCACAAACCAAATAACCTCATTAATCAGGTCTCTGCATCTGATTTGGGAAGTTAGGCCACCAGAATTCAGATCTGTTAGATCACCAATCAGCACAGGGGCCCTGGTCCAGTTTTCTAAACGATGCCTTGGTTGAGACAAGCCCTTCCCATTATTTCCAGACTCAAAACACAAAACCAAAACAATAAGACAAGGGAAAATGTCCACACAAATGTTACCTTTGTGGAGTTTGGAGAGCTGGTGGGTCCTGTTCCCCTTTGCAACGGCTAATTTTTTATCATCCACGAGACTGGATTTAGAACCACTGTGTAAATACAATTCTGGAGGTAACTGAGGGTGTTCTCAGAAAGGTTTAACTGAAGAAGGAAGAGCCCCTAAATGTGAATGTTCCATTCCTGTAGGCTGGAGTCCCAGACTGAATAAAAAGGGAAGAGTGAACTGAGCTGCAGTATTCCTATTTCCCGTCTCTAGAAGCAACATGACCCGCTGCGTCAGGTTCTTATTGCCATGCCTTCCTTATCATAATGGATGGTGCCCCTTTTGAAACGATAAGAGAAAACAAACCCTCTCCCCACCAAGTTGTTTCTTGTCTTGTTGTTCACAACAATAAGAAAAGAAATCGACAAACCCTTCAGTTTCCTGCTGGCCACATCATGCTCCCACTATTGGAACTTTTCCTTAAATCTCTCAACTCCAGAAAGGCGTTGGGAACCCTAGAATGGGTCAGGTTTTGAAATGTCTCACAAGTGGAACACTTTCAAGCCCAAACAGGAGAGATTACAAAACGCTAGTGGGCTCCTAGGGTACCATCTGAGGAAAGGGGACAGAAGCCTAGCAACCAGGCTGTTTCAAGGAAGACGTGTAACATCATGGAGAGGGATGTCTCATTAGAATCGTTTCTCCATCCACCAGATCATGTGACTCCTTGGCCTACATATCAGTCCCCTCTCCCAAGACCTTTGAATGAAAGAGTGTGACAGTGTTTTGAGACAGTGAAAGTCCTCAACAAATCTGAGGGGTGACTTTTAAGGTGATTTTCCTGCCTTGTAGAAGGTCGATGTGACCTTTGGAGGAGGAGCAGGTAGAGGGGTGACAGGGGTCTGGGAGGAGAAGGTGCTGTCTACAAGCATTGCTCAAGCCTTTTAAGATACAAGACACAGGGGTGGGGGGGGGGATGGACACGGACACTGCCAGATCACAGTCCAGGAACCTGAGAGCCTTGGATGGGCTGGTAGCAATGCATACCTAAGACAGATGGAAGGAACTTGGCAGTACAGCAGCAGCCCAACCTGCCATTGAGAGCTTGGGGATATTTTGGTTCATTTGGACTCTTAACTGACCCTCTCTCTAGAATATTACTATATGAAAAGTTTTTATTTTGAACTGACTACTGAATTATTTTTCAGGTATCAGAATCAGAGAGAGAGAAATGTCCCTGAAAATCACAAAGACTAGAAGGGAAAGCCTTCAAATGTGTTAACCGTTGATCTCTGGAATTTGCAAAAACAGACTCATTATACTCCAGTCTCTCCAATCACACCACAGAGGATCCAGACAACTGGATGACCAGAGGTGAATAAAATGTCTAACCAGAAGATGTCTCCACCTTGAAGAACGGCTCAGGTCTAGCCCTTGATTTGGACTTCAATTTGGACTCGACGTTAACACAAACGAGCAAGCATTCTTGTTTGTGGTTCCAGCACTGCAAAATTCGACTTCTTCTCAAGGAAAGTGGCCATGAGAGAAAAGCCCTTTAGAGGTTTAGTCCCAACGGATCAGAAGAAAATGCACGTGCTAACAGAGTAAAGGAGAAAGTACCACAATGTTTGTGTTTCATGACTTTGGATGGGAGTCAGATGTGATGTGTGTGGTGGTATTGTGTTCCCCAAAATATTGTGTACTCTAATAAATTTATCTGGGGTCAGAGAACAGACAGCCACTAGATACAAAGGCTAGAAAATGGTGGCACTCACACCTTTAATCCTAGCATTCCAAAGATAGAAATCCCTCTGGATCTCTGTGAGTTCAAGGCCACATTGGAAATAGCCAAGCATGGTGACACACGCCTTTAATCCCAGAAAGCCAGCCTTTAATCCCAGGGAGTGGTGGTAGAAAGCAGAAAGATATATAAGGCGTGAGGACCAGAAACTAGAAGATTTTGGCAGGTTAAGCATTCAGGCTTTTGAGCAGTAATTCAGCTGAGACCCATTCCGGATGAGGACTCAGAGGCCTCCAGTCTGAGGAGACAAGACCAGCTGAGGATCCGGCGAGGTGAGATAGCTGTGGCTTGTTCTGTCTCTCTGATCTACCAGCATGGACCCCAATAACTCGCCTCAGGTTTGATTTTATTAATAAGTACCTTTAAGAATCCTGCTACAGATGTGTGTAAACATTTCCACATCCCCAAAAGACAGAAGGTGTGGCGGCTCTCTGGAGAGAGGGTATTTATCCATCCAATCTCAGCAGCTCCTGTCTCACCTGAATGCTGTAGCCACAACCAGCATCATCAGAGATAAATCGTGACCTTGTCCTAGTCATTGGAAGGCCATGCTACTGGCAGGACCGTTAGTGAGGGCGTGTACGCTCACAGACCTGGGAATAAAGAATGACGAGTTCTTTCCACATCACATGTTTGAAGATTGTTCTTCAATTGGCGGCTGCGGTTGTTATCAAACAGTGGTGCAGATGCCGGAATAAAAAGTGTGTTGGGAATAGCTAACCACTTGGCACTCGCTTGCCCCTCATGGGCCTGACAGGGCCTGGGGAAGGTCCCATGAAGTAGCTGCTTGTGGCTGCAGCTCTCAACGAATGATCATAAACTGAAAAGGCTAAATGGGATGGAGAATCCAGATTAGATCCTAGTCCAAAAGAAAAGGGGCATTCATGGGGATGATGTTTTCATTTCATTTCTATTCCTGTGTTAAAATACCCTGACCACCCATCCCCACAAAGACCACCACCAAGAACAATAACAACAACAAAAATCAAAACAATTTAGGGGTGAAGGGGGGCTTATATGGCTTTTATTTCCAGATTATAGGCTACTCTAGTAGGAAAGTGACAGTGGCAGAAGCTTGGGGCAGCTAGTAACATCCATGGTCAATAGCAGAGAGAAATGTATGTATGCATGCTTAATGCTCAGATAACTTTCTCTACTCTTATACAAGGTCCATATCACAGCCACACAGAAATAAATAAGTGCATGCATGGCAGCTTGCTGGCTGATGCTTGGCTTAATTTTTTTTTTCTACTTTTATATGGTTCAGGACCTCTGACCTAGGGAATAGTGCCACCCACAGTGGTCTGGGTCTTCCCACATCTAACTTAATTAAGACAGCCCCCTACAGTCTTGCCCATAGGCCCACCCAATGTAGACAATCTCTCCTTGAGATTCTCTTCCCAGGTAAGTTTGGGTTGTGTCCAGCTGACAATTAAAGCTAACCATCATAAATGGTAAAACCCAAATAAAGCTTGTAGTTTAGCTAATAGTAGTTTACCAATGTTTACTGCTCAGGTAGGGTTAAGCAAGATGTTAACCTGTGAATGGCATATGGGAAATCTCTGAGTGACTTGCAAAATATTTTATGTTTAAAATTACTATGAAAGTTAAAAATATGTAATGTTAAAGGCCTATAGTTTTTTAGCATGTAATGTGGAGGTATAAAGCCCCCCAAATGACCAGATATCAGGGACACATATGGAAACAAACATTGCTCATGCCTTGCAGCCATCTTTGAGAGCTGGATGAGATTTGGTGTTTCCTCCTATCTCTGTATCTACCATCAAGAGGCATGATGAAAAGGCAATCACATGACTAATATGTCACAGTCTGTTGCAGTCACCATTTCTAGAAGACTCCAGAAAAGCTACACGCCCTGAGTTAGGTATTAAAAAGGCATAAACTAAGGCAACGCTCCTTATCTCAGATTGAGTACTGCTATCTTAAAGGCAGGCATGGTGGTACAAACCTGTAACCCCAGAACTTGGCAAGCTGAGGCAGCAGGGATGTGAGATCAAAGGCAGCCTCAGCAAAATAGTGAAGACTTACCTCAAATGAATACTCACAATGAAATAGGTTGAGAAATCATCGGCCATGGATGAAGTTTCTGGAACATCTCCATGCTGTTGTTAGAGTTATTCAGTGGAGAAGAGATATCAAAGCGTGGCCACTGAGACAAAATGCAGATGACCAAGGAAGAGTTTGAGATCCCAGGAGTTGGTCGGGTGCCCAGAATATCTCAAGGTCTACTCCCATTCCATTTATACATCAGGCTCCTAAACATTATTTTGTCAGTGCTGTCTTTGTTCATTTTTGTCCTTAAATTTTCTTTGAATATATTTAAGGCATATGGCATGAACTCTTGATACACTTATTTTTTATGTCAACATACAGTCATGCATCACTCAACAATAGGCTGAGACCTACCTGCTCGGTTAGCTGAGTTACTCACTGTGCAAACACTGTGGAATGTACTAACCCAGCTTCAGAAGGGACAGGCTGCTACAGCAGGGATTTGGAGTACCTCTAAAGGCACATGCATGGGAGCGCTTGGTTCCCAGACTGTGCTGTTACCCAAGGTGGGGCATCCTCTAAGAAATGGAGCCTATGGGACATCTTCCCACCACCAGGGTCAGACATGGCCTTGGAGCAGAAACTGATTAATTTTTCAATTCCATATAATCTTATGGTACTGTCATTGACTACAGAGTCTGACCTGGGCCAAATTTTCATTATACAGCTACATGGCGACATGATTACTACAGTCAGATTAACACACTCATCATCTCAAAGAGGTGTGTGTGTGTGTGGTATGTGTGTGTGTGTGTTCATGTGTGCATGCATGTAAAGAATCTACTCTCTCAGCAATTCTCAGAGTACAACACTAGCTTGACTCATTCTTCAGGATTTTGACTTGAATTACCCCATTCGTCCCATGCTCCTGTTAACCCCATTTTATTTTCTATGTATTTAATGCATTTTAAAAAAGCTTCTGCATATAGGTGAAACCCAGGCAGTATTTCTCTTTCTGCTTCTGCTTATTTTACTGAGCACAATGTTCTTTGGCTTCATCCACGTTGCTACAAATGGCAGGATTTCACTTTCAAAGGCTGAATATTGTGTTGTCTGTCCGCCTCACAATCTCTCTGTCAACTAATCCACCAGACAAGAAGCTTTCTTTTTTTTTCTTCCAATCTGAATGTTGTCTGGCATCACTGGGGACTGAACCAGGGAGGGGCCTTGCTTGTGCTAAGAAAGTGTTCTACCATTGACCTACAACCCCGTCATTCTATCCTGAACATGAGGAGAGAGAGAGAGAGAGAGAGAGAGAGAGAGAGAGAGAGAGAGAGAGAGAGAGAGAGAGAGCCCTCACCACCTGAGGAGCAGGTGGGAGAGCTGATTCTCACCCTCAGCAGCTGCAGCACTCAGGAAAGTGGACCCTGCCTGCACCTTGCACCTTGCCTAGGCAGCACAGTAGAGCTGACCTCATTGACAGGGGCCTGGGTGAGCCAGCTAAAAATGTGAGCATGAGAGATTTGGTTCTGCCCCTCATTTGCTGTATGGTGGTGTAGGTGAGGGACGGATGCTCTCCCCTGCCTGGCTCCTCACCACCTATGGCAGGTGGGAGAGCTGGCCCTGCCTCTCACCAGCCGCAGCACTCAGTAGAGTGGCCTTGGCACCTCACATGGAAACCACAGTAGAGCTGGCCTGGCCCTAGTGGTGTAGGTCTGGGTGAGCTGGCCCAAGGCCATGAGAGTAGAAGCAACAAGCCTGTCCCTAGCTGCTTCCTGCCTAAGGCGAGCTAGCCCCGGGTGGTGCTGAAGAGCTCACCCTAGTGGTGAGCACAGGGGTTGCAGGCTGACCAACCCAGCCACCACTCAGGCCCAGAACCAGGACTATGAATTTGCCCATCACAACATCCACCCCTTCTATGATCTGCTGGAGCACATGAAGGGGCTAGTGTAGCCAGAAGGTCTCTCCAGTCCTGCCTGAGCCTACGGTCAGACAAATCTCTCCCACCTGTGTCCCACAGTACAGCCGCAGCCACTTGGCCCCAAGTAAACACACAGAGGCTTATATTATTTACAAACTGTATGGTCTATGGCAGACCTCTTGCTAGCTAGCTCTTATATCTTAAATTAACCCATTTCTATTCATCTATGTTTTGCCACGTATTTCGTGGCTTATTGGTCTGCTGGTATGTTGTTCCTTGGGCAGCAGGCTGGTGTCTCTCTAGATTCTGCCTCTCTTTCCTGTCTCCCTCCTTGGATTTCCCTCCTGCCTCTAAGCTGCCTTGCCATAGATCAAAGCAGCTTATTTATTAACCAATGGGAACAACATATATTCACAGCATACAGAAAGACGTCTCCCATCAGGCTAGTCCTGAAGACCCAGAGCTACAGGATCTCCATGGCACAGGACAACAGGATATCTAAGAGGAGTCCCGTGAGGGCCCAACATTGATAGTGTAGTAGAAACCAGCAGCCTTGAACCAGACCAATGACTCTTTGCAATGAACACTTGTAAGTAATGATGTATAGACTAATGAGTATACTGTGTGACTCACTGTGCCACACTACAACTTCCATGATGAGATTTTTCTTTCTTTTTTTTTTTTTCTGTTTGCTTTTCTTTTCAAATCTTTTTTTTAAATCTTGGGGAAGTTGAAAGGGCAAAGGGCAGATGCAAAGGGACAGGGAGATGAGTGGGATGGAGATTCATGATGTGAAATCCACAAAGGATCAATAAAAAGTTAAATTAGAAAAAAATTATCTTGTTTAATTAAAATAATTTTGAAGGTCAGTGAGATAGCATTGTGAATAAAAGCACTTGTCCCCAAACCTGATGACCTGAGTTTGATACCTAAGACCATCATGATGGAAGGAGATAACTAACTCTGGCATGTTGTCCTCTGACCTCCACGTACACACTGTGACGTGTGCTCATGTGCACATGCATGTACACACACACACACGTGCACACACACACTAATAATAATAACAATAATAGTAATAATAATGATAAATGTAAAAAAATTGAAGAGTCTCATTATGTACCACAGGCTGACCTCAAATTTGTCATCCCCCTGTCTCAGCATCCTGAGTGCTAGAATTATAGGAGTGTTCTACCAAGTTCTTTGCTACTGATTTGTGTAAATTCCTTACACATTGTGGACATATTAATCTCTTATGAGATAAGTGGCCCACCAATATGTTCTTTTATGCTTCTTCATTTTGTGGATTGCTTGCTGTGTTATGCAGAAGCCTTTCAGTATCTTAAAAATGTCTTTGAGCTTCAAGCAAAATTTTGTGCATGTGTTTCCAGTTGACTTATGCTTACCTAACCAAAATGCTATTTTATAAGAATTTTTCGATATGAAAAAACATTTCCAATCTCCATTCACCACTCCATTCACTTTCAACTTAAAGTCTTCCTTTATAGAAAACTACACATAGTTCAAGGTTGAAACTTAAACAATTAAAGTAGTTTTACAACTTGGTAAGATGAATTTGACCATTCAGTTTCAAGAGTTGTCCCAGAATCTACATCTATCTGCTTACTCTTTTGGAAGAGTCTTTTCCTCATCTTACTTACTTGGATCATTTGAATCAGTGTGTATTTGTGTGTGTGTGTGTGTGTGTGTGTGTGTGTGTGTGTGTGTGTGTGTGTGTGT